GAGACTGTCAACTCTGGGCTCTATGTGGGCTCTATGTGGACATCCACGGCATACCGAGCACGACGATTTTGTCCGACAAACTAATTCAGCTTTACAATTAGGGGAAGGCATAAGGTTGTTTGAGAACTTCAGACCGATCTTCACTAGACGTACACACGTCAGGGTAGATATCGATTAGTTGCGTTGATTGTGATTGTGGTACTGATTTTTCTTAATCGATATCATGCTCTCATCGGCCAATGATAATTACGAGTGTGGAAGTAAATCAGTTTGCATTCGTTCAGAGCTAGTAAGCGGTTGAGGTAGGGTGATTCAAGGAGGGAGCTCAGGTCATTCTAAAAGCCACCCAATCGTTCATAGAACCAGAGGCACTAACCCATCTTCAGACACCTCACAATCTCACACCCGTTTATAGTCAAAAGCTAAAAACGTTAGCGTTTAGTCAGACCAAAAATCGAGGCTGCCGATCCACATTCCCTACTATGCAGGACACGCGTGCAGCAAAGCAACTCATGTCTTTTTACGGCAATGGTAATGCGTGCAAACGCTTCGAGAAGTTTGGGTTTTGAATCACAAAAGACTGACCGTTGATGTTCCGCTCTTCTCGCCTTTCTCGCCTTCCTTCTTCTCTTCGTCTTTCTTTTCTTCGTCTTTCTTTTCTTCGTCTTTCTTTTCTGGCTCCTTAGATCCTGAAACCAGACCTGGTACTTGAGTCTTGTCTGGTTTCAGTTCCTCCTCCTTTGGAGGCTCCTGCTCTTTGCTGCCTTTCTTCTCACCTTCCTTTGATTCCGGCTTCTCTTCGTCCTTCTTCTCACCAGGTGCCTCCGCTTTTTCTTTGCTGCCTTTCTTTTCCTCTTCCTTGACTGGCTCTTGTGAACCTTCTTTTTTATCGCCTTCTTTTGGGGCTTCCTGCTTACTGCCTTCCTTCTTCTCTTCGTCCTTCTTGTCCTCGTCTTTCTTCTCTTCGTCAGGTTCCTGGCCGCCAAGACTTCGGGAGGACGACGATCCCGAGTCACTTAGGCCGGCCACATGTCGGCCATCCAACACGGATCTTCTCCTCGGTTGCTGCATCCACTGTGCTTGGCTATGAAGATTGGATTGAAATGAAACACACAAGGAAGTCGAGCTTAAGTAGTGAACTCAAGAGTGATAAGCGAAATCAGCAAATAGAAAGATAAGCGAAATGAACATA